TGCAGTGTTCCTCAGTCGCTCCAGGCAGTTCAGCTTCACATCTATCCCCATGCCTTAACCGGAGAGGGGTGGGCTCTATCAGAGAGGCTTTGGACCTCTGGAACTGCTCGGTGAACCACACCTGAGCTTTTTCACCTTGTCTTTTTTGTCAAGGAACCTCCCTCTCCCTTACCTCCGCCAGTTAGGAGCCCACATTTATTTTAAAGCTCATCTCCAATGATCCCTCCCTCACAAACCTTTTGCTGATTTTTACAGCTATCTATAAACCTTTTCTTTGCAGCCTGACCATCCACCATGGAGGGTGCTTTCTCACTTTCTCTTCATCTCTCTCCCTGGAGAGTACATGCACCCTCTGGCAATTTTTTTAAATTAGAAAATCCATATTATAAAAAAACGACATGGATTTCAAAAAATGTTTGCATCAAAATAAACTCATACTTTAATTCCATTTTCCACGAACTTTATGTAGTCCTCTCATATTCTTGAAACAGTGCTTTTTTTTCCCCTTGCTTCCAGACTGCCGCAGGACCCCGGACTTCCACAACTCCTCCAGGGTGAGGCTAAAGGAGGAAGTACTGAGGACCCAAGTCCTGAGAAGTGGATCCGCAGACCCAGACAGAGGCATGGAGCCATTCCTGAGCTGCAGGTAGGCATACAATGTTGGAACTTGTATCAGGGAGTGTGTGAGGCAACCGTGGTTTCCCAGCCCCTGCCACCCACTTGGAGGGTTCTGTACTGTCTGACTGTGCCCCTATCAGCCCTGTTGTTACTCTCAACCTCAAAAAGGAAGACTGAGAGCCAGCAGGTGGCACGGTGGTTAAAGAGCTGGGTTCCCACGAAGTCGACTGTGGTTCCAGTCCAGGATCTGACAGCTTGAAAATCATGCCAAGTGCCCTTCCTCCCACAAAAATAATACTGGGGCATAGTAAGAGAAATGAAAATGGCTATTTCAGTTGCTTAAAATATGTACACACCAGGGGCTTGTAACAGATGGCATGGTGGTTAAGGACTGGACTCCCACATGGCTGACTATGTTTTGAGTCTTAGACCTGGCAGCTTGCTTTATTATCCCTCCCCCCATCTCTCTGGTCAGATTTTAAAATAACAATAAATAGGGACCAGCAGATGGCATAATGGTTACATCACTGGCCTCCTGCATAGTCAACTGCAACTCAAGTCCTGGACCTGGTAGATTAAAACTCACAATGGGTACGTGTGTGAGCGTGCCCAAGATCCTGAGAGGAGAATGGAGAAGGGATTGGAACGTAGCTGTCCCCCTGCCCCAGGGCGGTGGTGTGTGATTTCTCACTTTCTGTTTCTCTGTCTCTGTCTCTTCAGTGATTGAGTACACCCTATAGCAAAAATCTCTCTCTCAAAAAATTATAAAAAACAATCAATTAGGGGACCAACAGTTGGTGTAATGGCTATGTCGCTGGACTCCCATGTGGTCAACTGCAGTTCGAGTCCCGGACCCAGTGGCTTAAACTCACGCCAGGCACATGTGGGCATGCCCAAGATCCCACTCACCAGAAAGACAGAGAGAGACAGAGAGACAGAAAGTGAGAAATCACCCCCCCCCCGAGGGGGGGTGGCCGTGCTGCACTCCCTTCTCCGCCGTTCTCCTCTCGGGATCTTGGGCACGCACACACACGCCCAGCATGAGTTTAAGCCACCAGGTCCAGGATTCGAACCACGGTCGACTACATGGGAGTCCAGCGACATAGTCATTATGCCAACTGCTGGTCCCTACTGAATTTTTAAAAACAAATTCACACACTGAGACTAGACACTAAGAAGGGTGGTTTACATGCTTGGACCAGCAGTTAGCATAATGGCTATGTCACTGGACTCCTATGTAGTCGACTGTGGTTCGAGTCCGGACCTGGTGGCTTAAACTCATGCTGGGCGTGTGTGTGCGTGCCCAAGATCCCGAGAGGAGAATGGAGGAGAAGTGATTGCGGTGTGGCCCTTCCCCCTGGGGGGTGATTTCTCGTTTTCTGTCTCTCTGTCTCTCTCTTTCTGGAGAGCACATGCACCCTATAGCAAAAACCTCTCCAAAAAAATAAAGAAAGAAAGAAGGCTGGTTTCCATGTTAAGGGAGCACAAGAAGAACGAAGATTCCAAGTTCTTTGCCAAGAATTCACATTGGTCCATTTAAAATAACACAGGCAGGGCCAGACAGTGGCACTGTGGTAAGGCAAGAGATGGACAGTCCTAAATCCAGCTGCTCGAAGAGCAACAAGTTATAATCTTTCTGGAAGGTGTCAACCTAGGAAAAAGGCTAAGTTAAAATAATTGCGATCAAAGTGGTTTATTTAAGCCAGGGCTTAGGACAAGTGGCCTGCGCGAACAAACTGATTCCCCAGAGATGATGGCTGAGAGGGCTGGTTTCTACAGCAAGGAGCAGGGCAAGAAGAGGGGATGTTACAGATTTGTCGAGAGTTTACACTGGTCCATTTAAAATAAAGCAGGTGAAAGATTGGCTAAGCTTTATGTACATCGTGAGCTGGAGAACTCTGGGAAGAAGAAAAGTGGTGTTGCATTGTAAATCTATGATCCTTTCTAGCATCACAGTTTACTGTAAACTAAAACATGTCTTTGGGGCAATAACGCCGACAGGTGTGGCGTAGCCAAAGTCTCAGGCTCCTGCTTCACTCAGGCCTTTAATATTTAAATGTACCACACATTCCACAGACTGCTCTGGACTGCTTGTTTCTCAGAAGCAATCTGGAATGTGTGCCTCCACAGGGTGAGGCGGGCAGGCAGTGTGGTGGATAAGGGTGCTTCCCACATGGCCGACCATGGTTTAAGTACCAGACCTGGTGGCTTGCTTTCTCACTTTCCCTTTCTCTCTCTGGTGGTCAAATCAAAAAAATAACAATAACAAATGGAATTAAGTAAATAAATAAATACTTCTTTAAAAAAAAATAGCCTCTAAAACATTCATCTCTTTTGACTCCAATGCAAGAGCTCTAATTCAGACCAGACTGTGACCTTGTGTTTGAGGGAGCTGGATCCTATGTGGCTGGGGACCCGGCAGGTTGAAAAACACCCTGGACACATATGCATGCATACCCAAAATTCTGAAAGGAGGGAGACGTGGAGGAGATTGTAGCATGACCATTCCTCATGGGGGATTTTACCTCCTCCCTCTCTCTCTCTGGCAAGTGTACATGCCCTTTAGCAAATTAAAAACAAACAAACAAAAAAAAGAATTCCAATCTTAAGACTCTGTCCAAGGTAAATAATTTTAAAGCACAGGCAAACGTGAAGAAACACATTCACTGCAATTTTAAAAACGATATTAAAATTAATAGAGTTGGCCTCGATTCCCAGTAACACGAGAAATACCTGAATGATGGTAGTCTCCTGTCATGAAACAGTAATGCTTTTACTAAAAATGATTTTATTTTTGGATTTTTGCTATAGGGTGTGTGTGCTTGCCAGAGAGACAGAGACAGAGAGAGAAACAGAAAGCAAGAAATGACCCCCTAGGATTGTGGCCATGCTGCAATCCCTTCTCCACTCTCCTCTCGGGATTTCAGGCATGCACACACATGCACCTGGTGTGACTTTAAGCCACTGGGTCCAGGACTTGAGCTGCTGTCTACTACATGCGAGTCCAGCTACATAACCATTAGACCATCTGCTGATCCCACTAAAAATGATGCTCTAAAGAATTTTTAATGTCATTAAACTAAAGATAAGAATAGCGAATCACGGGGGACCAGTAGATGGCATAGAAGTTACATTTCTGGACTCCCACCTGGCTGACCATGCTTTGAATCCCGGAACAGGAGGCTAAAAACTCATGCCGGGCACATATATGTGTGTGCTCAAGATCCCAAGAGCAGAATGGAGGAGAAGGGATTGTGGCCATCCCACCGGGGAGTGATTTCTCACTTTCTTTCTCTCTGTCTCTCTGGCAAGTGCATGTGCCCTTTAGCAAAAATCTCTTAGAAAAAAAGAAAAAGAATAGAGAATTACATATATAGTATGATTTCAAAAATTAACATATGTATATTAATACGAAGAGAGAATCCTTTCAACAGAGAAAGAGGAGGCCTTAAAGCAAGAGAGGAGGTCAGATGGTGCACATAGTAAAACAGGATGCTCTGTGAGACTGACTCACATGGAAAGGTACCAGGTTCATGTCCAGAGACCTCCCTGAGTACAATTCAGGGCTGGCTGAGGCTGGGGGTGAATTGTGGCTTTGAGATCCTGCTGAGGATAGTTCGCTCTCTCTTTCTCTCTCAATAAATAAATGAAAACTTTAAAAAATAAGCAAGAGCTAGACTAGGTTGGGGGAAGGAAGAGGCACTGAAGTGAGAAGTTTGGAATGTAAGAAGGGTTCCTGGGCACATGGGTTAGTTTTTGCTGCAAGACAAACAACACAACTCAGCATCAAATGACAAAAACACCTATCCTATCCAGGCTCAGCTGAACTGGCCCCAGCTGCCTCTGCAGTGCTGCAGTCTCAGCAGGCCACCTGAGCCGGCTTAAGACGAGGCTTGCACAAGGCACTTCGGCTGGGCAAGTGCGTACCAGAATCTCTCCTCCTCCTCCCGGGAAGCAGTCTAGTCTGGGCATACCCTTTTCATGGCCACGGCAGAATCGCAAAAGGCCACCTGAGGTCCAGGCTCAGAACTGACACATTCTAACTTCTGTCTCATCCTAACGGCCAGAGCAAGTCAGAAACTGAAGTTCAGTGTTAAGGAATGAGAAAAAGGCCAACCTACAGTGGGAGGGCACCCGGAGTTACATGGCAGGGCCAGGTGGTGGCGTAGCAGTACTGCAATTAGACCCACATGGGAAAAGTCCTGGGTTCATTTCTGGAATGCCTCCTGAACACACCGCTCACAGGTGCCCATGATCCATGCTGGCTGAAGCCGAGGGCGATCAACAGGGGTTCACCCCCCGTTGATGGTTACTCTCTTTCTCCTATATGGAAGAAATAAATAAATAAACTTTTACAAAGAAAAAAGTGGTATGGTGGTTCAAGCAGTTGGATCCCACATGGCCAACTGCACAATTCAAGTTCTGGACCCAGAGACTTGATAAACACACTGAGCATGTGTGCTTGCATGCCCCAAATCCCAAGAAGACAATGGAGGAGAAGGAATGGCAGCATGACCACCCCTTCCAGGCAGAGATTTTTTACTTTCCATCTGTCTCTATCCTATGAATGCATGCACCCTATGGCAAACAAAAACAGAAAAAGAAAAGAATAAGTAAAAGGATGTATGAACCTTCCAACTTTGTACTTTTTCAAGATTGTTTGACTTTTTTTTAGTGATTTTTTTTTTTTTGCTATAGAGTATGCGTGCTTGCCAGAGAGACAGAGAGACAGAAAGTAAGAAATCACCCCCGGGTGGATGGCCACACCACAGTCCCTTCACTCTGTTCAGGACTTTGGGCATGCAGGGACACATACACGCACCTGGTGTGGGTTTCAAGTCACAGGTCTGGGACTCAAACCACAGTTGGCTATGTGGGAGTCCAGCACTTTAACCACTATGCCATCTGCTGGCCCCAATATTTTAATTTTTATCTGTCTAGAATGTATTTTAACATACAGGTCCTAAAGTTTAATTTTTCCAGGTAGGTTTCTCAGATATCTAACCAGTTGTTTGTTAATATTATTAGGCTATACCATCCGTATGTATTATGTATTAGCTGTTCAGTGAGTCCACAATGGCAAGACAAACACACAAGACCCTGCATGGCCTACTGTCCCAAGACCCCACACTATACCCATTTCCCCATGCTACTACAAACTGAACTTTGACTACTTCCCATAGCACTCATTTTGTGAGTGGATACTCACAAAATACTCACCATACATAATTCCTTGTCCTGTATCTGCTTTTCTGATAGACTATACATTCTGTGGTAGTTCTCTAACAGAGTGCCAGAACCAGTCATTGGCTTGCTACATACTCAGTAAGTCTTTCTTTTTTTTTTCAATTTTTTTTTTTTTTGGAGAGGTTTTTGCTGTAGGGTGTGTGCACTTGCCAGACAGACAGAGAGAGAAACAGAGAAATAGAAAGCGAGAAATCACCCCCTAGGGGGGATGGCCATGCCACAATCCCTTCTCCTCCATTCTCCTCTCGGGATCTTGGGCACGCACGTACACGTGCCCGGCGTGAGTTTAAGCCACCGGGTCCGGGACTCGAACCACAGTTGACTACGTGGGAGTCCAGCGACATAGCCATTAGGCTAACTGCTGGTCCCCAGTAAGTCTTTCTTTATGGATGAGTGAATGGGTGAGTGGATGAATGGGTGGATGGATGGATGGATGACTAGGAGGATGGATGGACAGATAGATGGGTAGACAGAATGGATGGATAGGTGGGTGGTTGAGTGGGTAGATGGATAGACAGGTGAATGGATGGACAGGTAGATGGAAGAATGTTCCCTGTACTCTCTCATAGTTCTGCATTTCCCCACATGCTGTTCCCTTTGTCTAGAATACCCTTCTACTTTCCATCCAGTGAACTCCTGTCCATCCTTCAAGATTTAGCTGAGCCGTCCTCTCTTCCAGAAAGCTCTCTCTGGCCACATATACCTGGAATAGGCATTCTGGTTTTGCTCCTGTGGTGCCCAGTGCATCTTCCACAATGACTTTGACAATTTCACTGTGCTGGTCTGTAGGTCTGGGCTGGGCTGACTTGTCTTCAGGTTCTGAGCTCTCTGAGGGCAGCACCGTCTCTGACTCTATGTCCTGTGCTGGCCCTCTGCCTGTTGTGGAGGAGGGGCACAGTACGTTTTCAGCGAGATCAGGAAAAAGGAAAAGTAATGGAGACCATATGTCCCTGGTTTCCAGAGAAAGATAAAGCAAGTGGAAGACTCTTTGGATGTGTTGAACAAGGAGTTCCTCCAGCTCACTGCACAAGCTCTGGAGCTCCAGAAAGAGGACAAACCAGGACGACCGTCCCCAGCTGAAGGTGACACAACTTTGGTAAGCCTAGGAGATGGATGTCTCAGCTTCTGAGGTGCCACAAAACGGGCTCCACAGGGTCACAGCCCCTTCCAGAGAAGTGGGTAAGGACCAGAACAGCCAGTGCTGCTCAGAAGTTCCACCAAGCAAAGTCAAATTCTGCATGTTTGGTTTGGTAAGTAGAAGGTAAGCCAGGAGTACTGAGAGCTGGGCCTGGAGACGGGGAGACCCATCATCAGCTTGGGGGTATAGCGCTCTCAGTAAATTCCTAGCCTGGAAAGATTGCAGAAGGGCATGGAAAGGGACTAGTAGAAATGGCTGATCTAGACAGGTCGAAGCGGTTGTTTTGGTCTCTGTTGTCAGTCAAGACTAAGTGAATGGGCGCTGTTTGGGAAGGAGGTTAGCTGAGATTTGGAGTCTATTTTTGTAACATTTGCAAATTATACTTGTTTCTGTCCGTGTCCTAAAGAGAAATGTTTTCTTTAAAATATAAACTGGTGTGCCAAAACTAACTTAATGACGGAAAAAGTAATTCAGAAGCTAAGAAAAAAAAAGAAAAGAAAAAGAAAAAGAACAAAGAAAAAGAAAAAGGACAAAGAAACAGCTGATGTAGAGCTGGCCCCATGGCTGGTGCTTGAGAGCCACACAGCTGACCGCAGTCTGAATCCCAGCCCCAGTAGCTTGAGAAATGTGTAGGCACACATGCACGCATGTCGGAATCCTGACATGACGGAGAGTACGGAGAGTTAAGGAGGAGGAATTGTAGCATGACCACGCTTTACTGGGGTTGCTGCCTCTCCTCCCTCCCCACTCCGCCCCATCTCTTTCTCTCTGTCTTGCTTTCTCTCTGATAGGCTCATGCACTCTGGCAAAAGAAAAGAAAAAGAAAAAGAAGTCGCTGCTGTAGGGACCAGATGGTGGCAGTGGTAACACAGGCAGGCCCACATGAGAAAGTCCTGGGTTCCCATCCTGGGGCCTCCTTAGACATGCTGAGCACACATGTATGTACCCATGATCCAGGGAGGCTCAGTCTGTGGGTGGACCACAGCAGGGCAATCCCATTGGACGTGTCTCTCTCTGTGTGTGCAGCCTAGGTGGTGCGAGGCAAGATGAGGCCTCTCACCAGCCTTTCCAGAGTGGGCACCTGGACTCAGATACCCTGAGACACCACTGGAACCCTGTTCCCAGTCAGCAAGGTCCCTTCCATGATGACCTTGCCGGGTGGAGCCACGGAAAGGCCCGGGGCAGGCGTTCTTCTCATTCATGTGCAGAGAAGGAAGAGCCAGGACGGCCCCTGAACGCAAGCACTTTCCATTTCTACGGGAATGCAGCACATGCTGGGCCTTGGATAGGGAGGTCTGAAGTATCAGTTCTTCTTGGTCAGCTGACCTCTCTCTTAAGACAGAAATGACAAGAAAGGGCACTTGGGTGTGCAAACAACTGAGGGAAATATATCTGGTGAACAAACAAGGTTGGGCAGGGCGGGGCAGGGCAGGGCCTGGTAATAACCACAAAATGCGCAGATGTGCTTTCTGGTGGGGCTGCAGGAGCCGCGCCTTCCCGGGCACTATGGCGGTCCCTGAACCCCAAGGCAGTTTCTCCCACATGCAGAGGCCAGCTCTATCCTGCTCTCTTCAGCACACGGATGGCACCTGCCCTGAGCTTTACAGACTCCTTCCAAAGAGTTCATGTCAGCTGTGGGATCGGTTCCTCTTTAAGCCCACCCTTCCTCCACCTCAGACGGGCAGCTGTGAAGCCAGCTGCATTGCAAAAGGACCAGGTGCAGGGACCCATACTCGGCTGAACTGAGGAGTCAGAGATAGGTGGTGGCCAGGTGGGGGCACAGCATAGCACAGCTGCACCCACAGGATAGATTCTGAGCTGGTGCCCTGAGGTCCCCTGTGCACACCTGGTGGGGTGTGCCTATGATCAGGGCCACCTGAGGATCACTGTGTGAAGAAGACCCTATTGGAAATGAATTTCTCTCTCCCATAAAAAAATAATAATAAATAACAAACGGTTTTAAAATATAAACACACACGCAGGCGCATGTGCATGCATGCCCCAAGTCTCAAACAGGATGGAAGAATGGAGGAGAAGGGATTGTGGCCTGACCCACCTCATTGAGGGTGATTTCTCCTTCCCTTTTCTCTGTCTCTCTCTCTCTCTCTCTCTGGCAAGCACTCACAGCCCCTGGCAATTAAAAAATTTTTTTTTTAATGAGAAGATAGTGATACAGTGAGGATAAAGGAACAAGAAGACTTCCTTCTTGAGGAAACAGTCTGTATCAATATGCCTGGTATTTAGGAAGGAATAAACAGGATGTACTAAGGAGCTATAAATTGCAGTGAGATGTAATTATTCAATAATTGTTCCAAATTATTAAACAAGATCATTGTGCAACGATATAATTGGTTGTTGTGCACTAAGGTGGCCACATAGACTCAGGGGACACTGTGTCTTCATTACTTGGTCATGAACTCAGTCCCTGGGGGTAGCTCATTGATGTCTTCCCCAGTGCGGGGTGTGTGTGTCGGTGCCTAGAGAGTATCACGGTGACAGACATCATGGCCAGGGTCACATGGTGGGCTCAGGGCAGCCTGAGCTGAGAACCCTAGGGAAACACCTCTCTTTGTTCTTCATCTGGCCTTTTCAGGTGACTCCCAGCATCTTTGCTCACCCAGCAGAGGCGTGTGGCCCATACAGAGAGAACCCAAAAACCAGGGCCCTGAAGAGTGATCAGGATCTGTTGCTGGAGGTGAGAAGGGTCCACTTGGCTCAGAGAATTGAGGACCTGGAGTGGGAGTTGTCCCTGCTCCTCCAGGTGGCTGATGGCCGCTCAAGTATAAGAGAGAGCTGGCCCCACCACCTTGCCAGCCTGAGGGACACTGAGTCACACAGGACGCTGCTGTGGCCACCTGCTAGAGATGCCTCCTCCACCAAGAACACAACTGGGTTGTCCCAGTAGGAAGGAGTGGGTGTTGAGGCCATGACATGCTCCCATGGGGTGACGCCCAGGTTTCATTCAGAGCCTGGACCTTGGCTTGTGAATTCTGACTTGATCCTTTCGGGTGAGGGGAAATAAAGCCACATGGGCTGAAGAAATCAGCATGTGCTCCCCTGCCTCAGTCTTCTCACTCAGGCACTGGCTGCTGCATCCTGGGGTCCAGGCCAAGGCCTCCAAAGTTCTCCCTGGGGCACCAGGCCACAGGGGTGGGAATCCCAGGAGTGCAGCCACAGGATATCCCAAGCCTTCAACCATCACTCCTCTCCTCTGAGTCTCCGAGGACCCAGCCTGGCTCGTGGGGAGCCTGGGCAGCCATGTCTTCTGGCTCCAGCTGCCCTCCTGGACAACACAGGCAGGTAGTGTCTGTGGGCTGAGTTGCACCGAGATGCACCGAGGGTCAACACTAAAGAAAGCTCCTGAGAAAAGTCAGGGCCAGATTCCACTGCAGCTGAAGTTCTCTGTCCCCAGGGTGCTGTGCTTCTTCTGTGCCTCCCTCTGGCAGTTCCCACCTAGAAAGGGCCTTCCTCTTGCCCACGCGGTCCTCACTTCACCTTGAAGATCACCCTAGAGGCCACTGCTCCACTCGGCACTCCTTCCAGCCCCATCCTGACCTCTCCCTCCTACCTCCACTCGTGTCTGAGTCCACCTTAGTCATTTATGCCACATTTCACCTTCCCTCCTAGACTGAGCTCCTCAAAGCAGAATGTGTGTCTCATTCACCTTGGAGTTTCACACTCTCACACAGGCACACACATACAGGCATAGGCACACTCGCAGGCACATGCAGGCATACTCACATACACCGAGACCCACAGCACACCTCTGAGCATACTGCTTTGCAGGTGCTAGGTATTAAGTGACTCATAAATGCTTTGTGAATGTAACTGACCGCAGGAGCACAGCCCCCAATCCAGAGAGCCCATGGTCATGCTAGGACACCACACTGCCACATGAAAACTGCACAGAGGAAGACAGTGTGGGACTGAGCGTCAACCCCATAGACAACCTAGGACAGAAGGACGAACTTGGAGGCAAAGGAGATGAGCTTTGAGGCCAGAGGAATCCTCACGTTGGGGCTGGGACTGGTTGAGCCTTTCGGTGGGGGGGAGCGTGGGAGGAGTGTGGCCTGTGGCTGCTGGGAAGGGGCAGGGAGAAGAGAACATTTCAGGCTAGTTAGGTGGCTGGACAGGGAGCAATGGCGAGAGGATGTGCAAGGTATTGGCCCTAAGGAGTTAGGGAAGGAACTGCAGGAAGAGGAAGCCACAGAGGAAGCAGGGCGTGAAGAGTCCTGAGCACTGCCTGCTGCATCTTGGGTCTTTCCCATGATCCTTAGCACCCAGGAAGGAGCTCTCAGAGACTGTCTCCTGCTTAGGGCAGCCATTGAGTGTACCCACCAAGGAGGGAGGACAGATGGTCACCAAGGACTCTTCTCCTATGAGGTCCTACAGCTTAGAGCTCCAGGCCACTGAGGGAGGGGCAGGCTGAGTGGGCAGGGGGTGAGTGACTGTTCTGCTGGCCAGCTGGCTTCTGTTCCCCTGGCTAACATAACTCTTCAGAAATATTCGTGCTGTTCTCCATGGAGGTGAGTGGTCCCTGTCCCTTTTAATAGCATCAAGTTCCAGACCAGGGCATAAAGAAAGTCACCCCCCACTCCAGGTAAAAGGGAGAGAGAGAGAGAGCATGAGCCCACAGTTGCTGTCTCCAGCTGCCCAGCCCAGCAGATCTATGTGCAAACTGCTCCCCGGAGGCCTCTAGTGTTGATGTTGCTGACCCCAAGGGCCCTAGACACTCCAGCCCACCACCAACACCAAAACACAGCCCGGATATGTGTCCGCCTGCCCTCACTCATTGGTGGACACACAGCTCAGGGTGGACTGAGGTCCAGAAGTGTGCTGTGAGACAGGGGGACCTGGTCCCTGGGGACAAAGCCATGGGTAAGAGGCCTGCCCCATCCTAGCACATCTCTATGGGGTAGGGATGCTCTAGTCCCTCTCATTGACAGTAACAAAAAAATACCTGAAACTGGGTGATTTATAAAAATTGAGTTTTAGTCATCTCACAGTGGGGCCACATCTGGTGAGGATTTTCTGGCAGTAGGGTCCCAAGGCCTTCTGTGCCTCGCTCTGGGGAGGACCTCACATCATGTATGAATGGGAGTGTGCATCTGTGTCCATGTGTGTCTCTCTCACACCCCCTCCTCATAAGCCCACCAGCAGTCAACCACAGGGTCCCAGCCCTGATGACCTCAACCCTAACCTGTTTCCAAAGGTTCCACCTTCAACACCATAGTCTAATTAAGTTTGTAACCTCTTATTCCCATCACAACCAAATCTCAACACATGAATTTGGGGGAGACATGCCACCACAGCAGAGGGTCATGATTGTGGGTCTGCAGGGTCATCCTCGAAGAGTCAATATGCGGGTTCATTCACTAGAGAAGGGGGCGTGTCCACCAGACCTGAGCCCAGGCCACCTCTCAGAGATACTGAGTCAACTATTAGCCTACTCAGACCCTTAGCAACTCAGAGACCACCCTGCACCTCGCAGAAGGCGACCCCACACAGGAGCAGCTGGACAGCCTCTTATGACCACTCAACACTGGGCGCTGACTTGATCCTGGGCCTCAGGGCTCATGGGCCTGGGAGGAACCCAGGAGCCATGGCCTGTGAGATGGGAGAACATATACCAGATGGAAAGACCTCCAGTAGGTCAGAGCAGGAAGGGAGTCATTGAGTCTCAACCTTCACACGCAGAAATTTGCCAGGGTCTTATCCAGATTCAGCTTCTGTCCCAGGGCCTAAGCGTCTGCACCTCTGACAGTGCGGGAACTGCCCACCCACCTGCTGGACTGTGGACCTCACTTTGAGTGCCAGGTCATAGGCCCTGATGAGAGATTTCATTCTAAGGTAAAAAAAAAAAAAAAGCTATTGGAGGGTTTAAGCAGAAGATAATATGACTGGGAAGCACACAGGTTTGGGGGGCCAGAGGTAGGTCATACATTCTGTCTGTTCCTTGGCTGTCAACCAGACACCCAAGTCCAGTGCAAGGTGGGCAGCTGCGTATGAACCTGGAGCTCGGGGAGACATTGGCTCGTCCCCAACATGAGAGGGCCTGCACAGGCCTACACCTTTCTTTCTTTCTTTTTTTTTTTTTAAAGAGGTTTTGGCCTTAGGACACATGTATGCACTAACCAAAGAGAGAGAGACAGTGAGAGGGAAAGTGAGAAATCGCCCCGGGGGGATGACCACGCACTATCCCTTCTCCTCCATTTTCCTCCCAGGATCTTGGGCACACATGCACATGTATTTGGAGTGAGTGTCAAGCCACTGGGTCCAAGACTCAAGCTGCAGTCAGGCATGTGGGAGTCCAGTGATATAACTGCTATGCCATCTGCTAGTCCCGTGCCCACAGTCTCTTAACATGCCCAGCAACCAGAAGGGTGCACAGTGCTCAGCCTGCACAGCTGCCCCAAACAATCCCATCCCCTACGAGTCAGTATGAGGGGTCTGCAAAATAGTCATAGGAAATGCATGTTAAAGGGGGCTGGAGGAGCCAGCAGGTGGCATAGTGGTAGTGGTGCTTGACTCCAACATGGCCGACCATGGTTTGAGTCCTGGACCTAGTGGCTTGAAACTCACACTAGGTAGGCGTGCATGCGTGCCCAAAATTCCAAGAGGAGAAAGGATTGCAACGTGGCCATCCTCCCTGGGGGGCTATTTCTCATTTCTCTCTCTCTGTCTCTCTCTGTGTCTCTAGCAAGTACACATGTCACATAGCAAAAATCTCTCTCTCAAATAAAAGGGGGAGGGCAGCTAGACAGTGATGCAGTAAACTCAGTGCTCTACAAGGCTATCACACTTGATCTTAACCAAAAGGCCAAGAAGCAATGCAAGGCTGATCACAAGAGAAGGTTCCAGGTTCATGCCCAGAGACCTCCCTGAATTCCCCAGCACTCATGTGCCATAATCGAGGACTGACTGAGGCTGGGGGTGGATTGTGGCATCAGGATCTAATGGAGTTCTATCTCTCGTCTCTCTCTGTCTCTCTTGCTTGTGGAGGAAATAAATAAATACACTTTAAGAAGAAAAGAAAAGAAAAGAAAATGTGTATTATGAAAACAGTATGCACTGATTTTGAAAAAAAAAAATACCAAAATAATAAATAAATAAAGGTTTTCTACAAACTTCTTGAAGTCCCCTCAGATGTTCTAAATGCCAAGCCTGGGCTAAGAGTTTCAGACACATGATCTTCTTTCATCATTGCATGGATTCTGTTTCTCAGCTGGCACCACTTCCTGCTCTGCAGATGAGGAAATCAAGAGTGGAGAAACAGTGGCCTACATTCACTTGTCAGGGGCTGGTTCATATTCTGTTTGACAACAAAACCCATATTCTTAGATATCATATGAGGCCAACACCTAACAATGTGTCCACATGAACATTCTGGAATCTATGGTGATTAGTAACAGCAGTTGAGCACCTACCAGCAGAGCCCCAAATAAAGCGAGACCAGGCTACAGATGGCATCTTTGACTGGCCTGGGTCAGCGATTTCCAATTCAGGCTCCTCAGAAGCCCAGACTTGCCTGTACCAGTGTCCAAGGGTTCCACAAAGATTTTAGTTCACTGGGACCAGCAGTTAGCATAATGGCTATGTTGCTGGACTCCCACGTAGTCGACCGCGGTTAGAGTCTCGGACCTGGTGGCTTAAACTCAGGCCGGGTGCATGTGTGTGTGTGCCCAAGATCCCGAGAGGAGAATGGAGGAGAAGGGATTGTGGCGTGACCATCCCCCCTGGGGAGTGATTTCTCACTTTCTGTCTCTCTGTCTCTCTCTGTCTGTCTAGCGAGGTCACATGCCCTATGGCAAAAATCTCTCTCAAAAAAAAAAAAAAGATTTCAGTTCGCTTTCACTTTCTAAGTTTAACTGGAGGCTAGTGGCGCAGCAGTTAAACGTGATGCTC